AACTTCATTTTTCTTTCATTTAACAATGAGTCACATGAAATCCCAAAATAACAAGGGAAGCTACTTGTCATATGCCACACAACACGTTCCATGTCTCCCATCAGAATGCTTTAGGTTGTTACTAACAAATTCTAGCAATGTAGGAATCAGAAAAGGTAAACATAACATAGACAACGCATTAACTTATGGTGCTGATTACATTCTCACGCCGATCCAATCGTGCAAGCGGAATGAAACCAAACCAGCATACGCCTAACGTGAAACAACCGTAAGCATATGCCAACCATGACTTTATGAAGAATTACAGGAAGGCGTCCTTCTCGAGCAACTTTAGTACGTCGTTTTGGTTGTTCAGCTTGGCAACGTCGATCGGAGTCTTGCCATCCATGTTCTGGAGAGTGCTGCAGATTCCGGATTCCGGAAACAAAAAAGTATTGAGTAACCTAAGAGTGGGGAAAATTATAATTCATATGGAAAACTTAAAATTTTAACAAAGGGCTTACACAGCTGCGCCATTCTCAAGTAGAAGTGCCACGCATTCCTTCCTGCCATAACCGGCTGCATAATGAAGTGCGGTGTTTTTGTTCTTATCAAGAGCATCAACTCTTGCTCCAGCCTCGAGAAGAACTTGAGCACACTTCACCTGAAATGATAAAAGACACATATAAATACCTCCGTATATTAAGGTAGAAAACCATTAAAGGTACTCTATCCCCCAAACCCTTTTTCTTCATGCGCATTCAGTTTTAGCAGTAGCTCGTGCTCGTATCCGAACTGCATGATTGACCCATATGCGGAAATGCTCCACCACCCGACGATAACAAGTATCATCATGCAGAAACAAGTAAAAAGAGAGGGACTCTGAAAGATCTCATACCTCACCATATCCACATGCAAAATGTAATGCTGTCCTCCCTTCTGAATCTTCCTCATCCTTGTCAGCACCAGAGGCTAGGGCAGCTTTCAAACCCTACTTGACAGATTGAAAACTTAAGCACTTGCACATCTGCTAACTTGGACTAGACATGTCGAATACATACAAATCAAAGTTTAACACACAGGTATATTCCCTGACACCACATGCTACGAAATCAGAACTCAAGCAAGCTAACTAATAGGCCTAATTAGCATGAAGAGCCTGGGGTGAAAACCAATGAGTCTGAAAACAGAAATAAGTTTTTTTTTTTTTTTTTTTTTTTTTTTTTCTTTTTTTTTTTTAAATAGATAAACATATTTAAAAGGGTGGTGCTATCCGGGTAAGTTCTGACATTTTTCAAATACCATAATCATTCTTCAATTGCAAAATTTCTTATTAACAGCAAGATCCAACTAAATGGCACGTGAAGGGGTTAAGAGCAGACAATGGTGTATTCTACCTCCACATCACCAACACTAGCAGTTTGATGAACAATTGATTCATCTTCATTTCCAGCATCTTCAGCTTCTTCTGGTGGTTCAGCAGAAGTAGCTGCATCCCCAACTGCAAGACCCATTGCTTCTCCCAACTTCTGCAAAACATCTTTATCGTTCCAGTATCTGCAAAGCAGAATTTCCTTCTTTAGCTCACCCAAAGTTTGTACTCAATTAAACCCAATTCCAATACCATGTGTTAAAAAAGAAAAATTAAGGCTAAAGCATATAGTTCCCAACTTCCATAACAAATCTAGGATTACTAACCTCATCATAGCAGCTGGACCACCAGTTTCTATTTCTTCCAAAATAGGCTTCAAAGAAGGATCTTCTTTGATACGTGACATGCGTTCCTCAAGCTGATCTTTGTTTGATGGATTGGCGAAACTCTCAAGCATAGTATTCATAGATGGATCCTGCAGTAGAAAAATCAATAAGCTGGAAATTCAACAAATCAAACGAATTCCATTCACAGCACTAAGAATAAATCAAATATAATCACGAATGCAGAAAGACCGGATATACCTGCATCAATGCATTACCGAGGCGCTCAGCCATGGTCATGAACTGAGGATTCTGCATAACCTGTTGCATGGTGGAATAGTATTGTTGGCTATCAAACTGAGGGACACCTTCATCAACTGACACGCCTTCAAAAGTTTTCTGAAGTTGGTCTGCCATCTGATTGAATGAAGGATCTTTTGATATCTGTTCAGCTAGTTCCTTAATGCTAGGATCCTGTGCATATGACAGAGAAGACACTTGTGAGCAAGAACAACGGACTGATTGAACTTCAGAACTCAAGCTCTCAACATTAAAATTTTTAAAGTTATACTAGTATTTGAGTTTTGGATTGGTAGCACAGTTTCACCCATTTCACATCGAGGTATAATGCCCCCCATTACTAGAGAATTCAATACATTGTGAATGGATGGCATAGTGCACATTGCTCCCTGAAATTCAGCGTAAAAAAGCCTATGCGCAGCTATAGAGGTCCGAGAGAATTGGATAAATTGTACTTTTAATTTTTAATTATAATCGAAATTATTCTTCCCCCATGCTCAGTCATTCAACTGTTTTCAAACTCAAAACGTAATAGAAGCAATAACATACATTCAGCAAGCCAGTCATGGCTGAGAAATCAAAAGGATTGGGAGGAAATCCACCCTCTGGAAGTTGGAAAGGGGTAGCCCCTGGTTGTCCTGACAGTGAGTCTCCAGATGATGCCTCAGACTTGGAACTTTTGTTCTCAGTTGTTTCAGGTTTGGAGCTTTTGTTCTCTGTTGGAACTGGCTTTTCGCCTGAAAAATATAAGATGAACGTGAGAGTGGCACACTCAATAAATTCCAAAAGACATTTTCCGTCGTCTGCATTCAGTTCAAATGAAAAAAATAAAAACAAATAACAAAAGGATATGGGTAATGGTTATCCAACTAGCCAATTATCAAGCTTCACTATAAATCCGATTCCCCGCTCACCTATACGCTTAGTAATTTGGATTTTCAATTTATATATGAACGTGAGAGTGGCACACTCAACCCAAACAAACTGCTTCACCGCTCACCTATACCCTTGGTGCTATAAATCCGAATAAAAAACCAATATATAAAACTGGCTAGTGGCTACTAACCAAAGCATCCTTTGATCAATTTAAGAATCACATAAAATTAAACACCAAAATCTGCAAGAATTTTCAGCAAAACAAAGAATACTTCTGTCCCACCGTCGTACATCCTATTCCAATCCAGCTCCTAAATGTATATGTATACATATTATATATATTGTTTTAGATCAATCAAATTCAGCAGACTGATAGAAATCCAGATATGCTTGAATATCCAATCAAATCAACACACAAAAATATAATTCAACAGTTTGACGCAAAACAGCAAGCATACCAGCAGCAGCAGGCGCATCCTTCTGCGTGGAAGCCATGGGAGCACCTGAATCGACAGAGCAATCAATCACCAATCAGAAAACAAAGTTTCAAGAAAATCACACAACCGATTGGGGAAAGTGCGAAAAGGATCGAACCTAATAATCCGGATGCAGGAGGTCCTCCGCAGTACGCAAAGAAGCGAATGCTTCAGAGACTTGACGAAGGGGTAGAGAGAGAGAGAGAGAGAGAGAGAGAGAGAGAGAGAGAGAGTGGGGGAGAGAGATCCTCGCACGCTTCGCTCTGGCTGTTGTGATTTGTGAAAAATGATGAAAGTACTGTTTTTATTTATTTTATTATTTTATAGATGTATATGTCGATGAAAGTACTGTTTTTATTTATTTTATTATTTTATAGATGTATATGTCGACATATCTATATAATCTCGCTCGCTATCTATTAGTCTTATCTAGGGGTAGCTAGCAGCTCACCACAACGACTCGGTGGGCCATCTCAATCCTCATCCCCTTCCCAAAATTCCCAAATGAATGGCTCTTTCTTTGCTGTTGTTGACCAAATTACTCTTTAACCTTTTGGGCTTTACAAACATATGGCCCACTCAATTTGCTCTATTTTCTCTTTACAACTTTTGGACCTGTCAGTAGATTTAATTTTTTTACTATTTTGACTCGAATTCGATGTAACTAAGACGATATAAATCACGACCTTCAATTCAATTATCTGAATAAAATCTGAACTTGATAATCTGATTATAAATGGATCTAGATATAAATTAAAATTAGTCTAATAATAATTTGATCTCACTTAATATAACATATTATTCGATTTGTATATTTCAATTTATTTCCAGGTCTTAAATCAAATCTGATACAAACTCGTTTACAATTTACTTTAGGAGTGTCTACGTTGGTTACAATATCGTTAAATCATGTCCCAATTTCGTGGGAGTAGGTCTTAAATTCAAATTTCATACAAGATGCTTGTTGAATAAAAAAATGTTGTAGGAATGTGCCTTGCAACATGTGAGAGGCTAGACGAGCGATTGTATAATGTAGATCGTATCAATCAACATCTCACATTTCAATATACACAGTGTGATCTTGAATTCAAATCTCATTTACAAACTTTGTTGAATACAAGAAAATATTATTGTAAAAATTTGCAATGCGAGATGTGAGAGGATGAACGATTGACTGTGCATTGCATGTTGACCAACATCTCACATCTCACATTATGCAATTGCAAGAGTCATGCACCCGAGAAAACGATAAGAACATCATATAACCTAAGATGGAAGTTTTCTTGTTCACTAGAAAAGTATAAGCTTTTGTCAGCACGTTGGGAAAATGCTTTACTTTGAAGCCAAAAGGAAGAAATGTATCTTTAATAATGAGAATTCCTCCCAAATATTTCATGTAGAACTAAGAATTGTGGACTACGGACCTGAAATTCTTCTTCAATCACTAAGTCACCCTAACCCTATGGTGTTGATATTTTGTCCGTTTTCAAAATAACCAAAACAACAACAATTATAATAATAACAATAAATAAATAAATTATTTAATTAATTATACAATTAAGGCAGGCCAGGAGAACCCAAAGTCCGGCCCATATCATATTGTCATGAGTCCAAGAACTTTGTCATCTGACAGAGTCTCCCTGTTTCATGCGCCAAGACGGCAAAATCCCTTGACCAGGTAACAGCAGAATTACGAACATCCTACAGAAAAAAAAGACACAGGCTTTCCCCTCTGATAATATTGCCAACAATTTATTCAATGAATCGGAGGATATTGAGTCCGAATCCGATCCTGGGTGAGTGAAGGATGTCCCAAGCTCAAGTCTCCTACAGGTAAATTTCCCAAATTCCATTTCTGTTATCGATCTGAATCAGCTGCCATCTAGTTTCTTCATCCATTTCAATTCCTTTGACAATGTTTCATGTTAAATTGTTTATCGTCTCACTTAAATAATCCTTTTTTCATTAATTTTTTTAGTGCTTGAAATCATGTGTTTTGATTGTTGAAGATTGAATGTTTGACCTTCATCACTCTAATCTCATTGGGTCAATTGGGTTTTTCCCAACTAATATTCAGAAATTGCTTTTAAGTTTAAGTACACCTTGATCTTGTTAGTGCAATTTGATGATTGCCCAAATGTGCATGTTGTGCTAATCTTTAATTAGTTTTCTGGGTTCCTGAAACTGAAATGTACAATGCTTGATTGGTTTGCTGAAATTGGTTTGTTTTATTTTTTGAATCTGTTACAGTTGTGGTTCTTGTGCATACCCTTTGAACTTGTCGTCTGCGAATCGGTTGACCTCTGAATCTGGCATAGGCTCTAACTATCAAAAGTCCATCAAGAAAGGTTTTATTTCATTCCTTACAGTTGATCTTAGTCGGTTTACTCAGGTTGATGAGGTAAACTGTTTTCCAGTCTCTTGGGGTCGTTATCGTTCAAAGACTAAACTCTTATGCCGTAAATGTGGGGTTCATATAGGTTATGGATATGGAGAGTCTTCTGTTCTTTGTGGTTTTGACTCTCCCAACTCATCATCTACTTCATCTTGTAGAAAGTTCAATATAAAAATACGAGCTCTACAACCTTCGGAAGAGTGCTAACATGAAACCTACTTGTACTTCTAGTACTTATTCTCTTACCACCATCATGGACTTGCCTGATGATTGCCTCGTCTTTATTTTCCAATGCCTTGATTCTGGCTCTGACCGTGAGTCCTTTGGCTTGACTTGTCATCGATGTCTTCGCATTCAAAATCTTAGTCGTCGATCCTTACAATTTCAATGTTCATTCAAACAACTTGACATTTCTTCATTATCACATTCAAATACCAATGTTACCATTAGAACCTTCCATCTTCACCGGCTTCTTACCCGTTTTCAACATTTACACTCATTGTCCCTCTCTGGGTGCACAGAGCTACCTGATTCAGGCTTGTCCCACTTGGTAAATTATGGTTCACATTTGCACACCCTTAACCTGGAGTGTTGTTTAGGTATTACTGATCATGGTTTGTCTATGGTAGCTGCTGGTTGCCCCTCGTTGCAAGTTATCAGCCTTTACCGTTGCCAAATTACTGATTTGGGGTTAGAAAAGTTGGCTAGTTCTTGCTCAGTTCTAAAGGATGTGAATCTCTTGTACTGCTATTTTATTTCTGATCGTGGGCTAAGAGCTATTTCACAAGGCTGTCATCAACTTCAAGCGGTTAAGATATCACATTGTAAGGGCATAACTGGTGTTGGCTTTAATGGTTGCTCGTCAACTTTAGCTTATGTAGAAGCTGAATCGTGTAAGCTTGAGCCAGAAGGTATTTTGGGAATTTTAAGTGGGGGTGGGATTGAATATTTGAATATATCTGGTTTAATCTTGCAAAATGGTAGAAATGGTTTGGCAGCGATTGGGAGAGGATATGCCTCCCGTCTTAAAATTCTTAACCTTCGCCTTTGTAGAACTATTGGCGATGAGTCGATTGTAGCAGTTGCAGAATGTTGTCCACTACTTCAAGAATGGAACTTGGCATTGTGTCATGAGGTCAAAATAGTGGGATGGTCTTCTATCGGGATGAATTGTCACAAGTTGGAGAAGCTTCACGTCAACCGGTGTCGGAATTTATGTGATCGGGGTTTAGAGGCTTTGCGAAATGGATGCAAACAACTATCCGTTTTGTACATGAACGGTTGTCCTAAGATTACTCCAACAGCAATAGAGTTGTTCAAATGTTACAGGAGTGATGTTACCATTAAGAATGAAGAGAAAATGTGTATAGGTCCCATCTGGGAATTGAGATGATAGTGGATGAGAAAACAATTTGACTTATTTGATATGAAATTGTCTATTATTTTCTGAATATACAACTTGCTTCGTGCAAGAAATGTGAATTTTTAATTGATAATTTGTGAAATTAATTTTGTGATGAATTTCATATGGATTGGTTGTAAATTAATTATTGTGCTTGCGCTTGCCGAAAGTGACTCAATCACATATGAATCAATTAAACGTGTTGTCTCTTTGCACCTAATTTTGAATCCCCTTCCCATGGATTTAGATCAGAATTGTTTAGAATCCGACTTCCTCAAATAATTAAAAAAAAAAAAAAAAAGAGGATAATATTGATAGAAAAATAAAGATCAGGATCCTCTCCTGAGCCTACGGTGAGGATCCTCCTGAGCAAGCCTATTGGATCGTTGAAATTTTATCCAACGGCTACAAATAAGGGGCCCCACTAAAAGTTATAATAATTGTAATCGTTGAATAAAATTTCAACGATCCGATGGACTTACTCAAGAGGAACCTCACAGTAGGCTCAGGAGAGGATCCTGATCCAAAAAATAAGTCACATAAAATGTAAATATTCTTAATTCAAATAAATCTAAACTTATTATAAGCACAAAAAAAAAAAAAAAAAACACATAAAAACATAAAAAGTTTATTTTCTCAATAACATCTGTGTCAACTTCTGCGGATCATGATGCTGCTCAAAACCCTACTGAAGTTTTCATTGGGAATCTGTGTGTGGACTCGGAGGACTTCCATGGCATAGTAATACCGCTACTAGGGCATTCCGTGCAATGATACTACGCCATGTGGAGAAAAAAACATTTGTTTGCTTCGATTCTGATCACTCTTTTTCATATCAATTTTTTGAGATATTGTTTGAGAAAACAAGTCTTTTCAGATGTTCGACCTCATTTCTGATGTGATAATTCAAGGCTGTCATTAAACAACAAAATTAAGAATATATATTAGTTTGAGATCATAGTTCATGATAACTTAGTTGTCAACTAAATGCAAGGTTCCTCTTAAAAGAAACGTTTTTTAATAGTAAGCGGTGAAGAGCATTCACTCCTACAATCGAGGTTTTGCGTTTGATTCGCCCGTCGTTAGTAATACCACTTGTGTGTGTGTGTCTTTTATGTTGTCTGCATTTTAATGGTACAAAGTTCATAGACGAAAGGCTTTTTAGTTAAAATGGTTATTGAGATTTGCATAACTCTTCACTTTGATCACCGAGATTTGAAATCAATACAAGTGGTCCATGAGATTGTCCACCATCAATCATTTTGGTCCTTCCATGAATAGTTTTGTTAAATAGAGATTAAAATGACAAAACTACCCTCAGTTTAATAAACAATAGGCCAAAATGATTTGATAAAAATTAAGGGTATTTTTATCATTTTATCCTTATTTAATGGAGATTTTTCACGAAATGACCAAAATAATTGATGATGGACAATTTTAGGGACCAATTCTATCGATTTCAAATCTCAGTGATCAAAATGAGGAGTTATACAAATCTCATGGACCATTTTGGATAAAAAGCTTAGAAGAAAACTAGAGAGAAGTCCTTACTGTCTTGCAATTGAATATCTTCCAAAATATTGTGCAGACATCCTTTTAATCTATTGTTGTCTGCAGTTATGCAACGGGTGTCTTCCTGCTCAAGAAAGAAAAAGATAAACAGAAAATTTGTCACCGTACATAATTTCAATGGGGCTTATAGATCGGGCCGTTAGCGTTCACTCCTACACCCTTCTTGCATTTGATTCCCGATCTGCTAATATCATCGGTATAAAAATGCAAGAAATATTTAAGGGTGCTGAATCATGTTGATTTACCTTCCATAGTTCCAACTGAGCGATCAGAGCAGCTGCTTCAAACTGCAACTTTTGTATGTTGCATTCAAGCGTCTGAACGTACACCTTCTTCCTTTGCTTTGACTTCATAGCCGACCTCCGGTTAGTCATAATCCTACAGATTTTAAAAATTAACGTAAGCATGTCACCGGCGTTGGTTTAGAACAATTTCTAGCATTACGAGTAACAAAAATCCTCGAAAATATACCTTTTCGCAAGCTTTGGATCCCGTTGGGCGACTTCTTCAATAACTGCAGCCGTCCTTTTTTTGGTGCTGGAGATTGAGATGACATGGTCATCTTTGGAGAAAGTTGAACTTGAACCATACATTGTGTTAATGCTACCACTTCTCAAGCAATCAGAGAATTTGTAACTTGCACAAAATGCAATGGAATTCCTCAACTAGTGAAGTTGTAGTGACAGCCATTATATATATACTCTCATGGGATTTATTTCCATAAATAGGGTGGTAATAGGGTGGTAAAAATTCCAGACATTGAATAATGGCTAGGAATTGGATTTCTGTGATGTTAATGTTTTGTAATCCAGGAACTGGGGCTTATGGATTTGAGTGCTTAGTAAACAAGGAAATATGTTCATACTCGTTTCCAAGCTTCTAATCCACGATCTAAACGGACCCAAAATGGAAGAAATTAGGTCAGTGCACTATACCGAAATTCACATTTCTGAATAACTCTAGATGGGATATTGTGATGTACATGAGAATTGGTTAATGGAGCACCTGATGTCTTATGTTTGATTCATTCCCCCAATATCGCTTGTATAGAAACATAAAAACCGATTAATAGAATTTCCTCTTCCACCGGATGTCCTACGTTCGATTCATTCCTCTAATACCACTTGCATAGAAACATAAACACCGATTAATACCATTTCCTCATGCAGCCGATGTCCTATATTTGATTCATTCCCCAATATTACTTGTGTACAAATATAAAAATTGATTAATACCATTTCCTGATGCAGCCGATGTTCTACATTTGATTCATTCCCCCATTATCGCTTGCATAGAAATATAAAAACCAATTAAAGCATTTTCTCTTGCACTCATTGTCCTACATTTGATTCATTTCCCCCAATATTACTTGTATAGAAACATAAAAACCGTTTAATAGCATTTCCTCTTGCACTCGTTGTGCTACATTTGATTCATTTCCCATAATATCGTTTGTATAGAACATAAAAACTGATTAAAAGCATTTCCTCTTGCACCCGATGTCCTATATTTGATTCATTTCCCCAATATCGCTAGACTTCAGAAATATGGAAAACCGATTAATAGCCTTTCCTCTTCCACTTGTTGTCCTACATTTGATTCATTTCCCTAATATCGCTTGTAAAGAAACAATGTCCTATGTTTGATTCATTCCCCAATATCAAATATAAAAACCAATTAAGGTCATCTCCAACCGAAGGGTCCAGAGGACAAGAGGGCCGAAAATAGCCCGAAAACCGTCTTCAATCGAGGGCTAGGCCAGAAAATATAGCTTTTCTATTGATTATAACCGATAGGATTACTTAAAAAAAAATTTGAATACAACGGCTAGTCAACAAGCCGTTGTATTCAATATTTTTTTTTTTTTGGGTTTTTTGGGCCAATTTTTTTTTTTAAATTCTTAAATTTTTTTTTCTTCTTATAAATACCTAAACCATTCATTAAATTTAAATTCTAATGTTTTTGGTTTTTTGGGCTAGTTATCGTTGTAGTTTTTAAATTTAAGTTGTTGAATTTGAATTTAAGTTGTTGTAGTTTTTAAATTTAAATAATAAATTATGTTTGGCCCTATGGCCCTCGGTTGGAGACAGTTTTTCGTGACAGGGCTAAAACGAGCCTTATGGCCCTCTGACCCTCAGTTGGAGGCGGAGGCAAATATGACCCTGTACTGTTCATTAAAATATTAATATCTTGTAGAATCTTGAAGGGCAGAGGGCTAAAACGAGCCATCTGGCCAGCCATCGGTTGGAGATGGCCTAATAACATTTCCTGTTGCACCTGGCAATGGCTTTTAAAGCAATATCTAGCTTACTGAATCATTTACTTTTAAAATATATCCATCACCCTTATCACTTTGTATGATATCACAATATTGTACAAAATTTTAATCTCCCTGAATTGGTTGTTATTAATCATACCATAATGAAAAGAAAAAAATAACGAAACCGGCAAGTATAGAACGAGTTGGCGTGCCCATTGTCAAGAAAGATTTCATCGGAAAGAGATGAAATCTTGCCGTTGAAATTTCGAAGGAAGATATTTTCCATCAGAGTTTTCATGACGAATTTATCGACTAATAACTCTTTTTTAAAAGCCCTTTGCCGAAATAATGTAAGAATTTTTTTTATTTTTTATATTTTGTTTGCTGTGGTGTTCTAATTTTTTCATCAAATATGTAAAACCAGATTAAACTGACCTTCAAATTCATGGTCTGATAAATTAAAAGTTTCTAATTACAGTACCTAATTAGTAATTAATTAAAAAAAAAGTGCTCCCCACAAACACTCTTTATTTTCTAAGCCACAATCTCAACTCCAAAATAAAAGCAGTAACAAATAAGATAGCAATAACAACACCATAGCTAGCACTCCATCCCTTCCCTTTTTCTCCCAAATGGATTCCATAGAAAACATTTGCTACTGCAAATATGATCAGAATCCTTCCCACTCCTTGATGGTACCAATTCCAGTACTTTCGAACCTTTGATTCCTTCTCCGGTCGAACCAAAAGAGCCATAACCTAAAAACGAAACGAACCAAATCAAAAGAGAACAATGCTTACACAATAAACCACTTCTTTATATTTAATAATAAACCCTTCGCTTTTCGTATTTAATATTAACATTCTTGAAGTGACACAAATTATTTTACATCAGCATGATAACGTGGCACAGCCGGAGTATATGTAATTAGGTTAAGGAAGAAAAGGAACAAAAGAATGGGGACGAATTACCTGAAGGCAACCGAGGACAAGAACGAAGATACCAAGAGATTTGTGGGTGGAGACATCAGCATTGAGCTTATTGTTCAAGACAAATCCACATAGAACACCTATTATTCCGAATATAAATCCAAATGATTGAATGAAACTATGAAGATAAAACCAAAGTGGATCATATGGCTTTAGGTAACGAGCAATTATTACTCCAATTATCATCAAAATGCCCCATCCTAGCATGTTTAGTACTCCATGGCTCTTTCTTAGTCTCGAGTATGGACTCTCTGAGCTCGATTTACTTTGACCTGTTTCAAAATTTCACAAAACGAAAGAAACGCTTATATTGCTAGATTGTGAATTTGAACTACACATTCAAACAACAATCAACATGACCAATAACATGGATTCATAGTCTGACAACGTAAACATCTTACGTTGCCGGACAAACGGAGATTTAAGAAGAGAATGTTTTGCTTTTATATTACGATTAATTTGAAGTACAAGACAAAGCTAGGTAATAGATCAATTTATACGAAATTATTTATGTGGTACATGTTCACAAGGTTCCAAATAAAACAAGAAGCAGACAGGAAGTTGTTTTCAATGTTCCACATCAAAATTGAAGCTCATGTTAGGGTAATTAAGCATCGGAATTTGCTCAACTCCTCATGTCCCTCCACACCAACAAAAAATGAAAAGACCTCTAAAAGCAAGCTCAACAAAGAAAGTCTCTACAAGGGTCTCAAAAGAGATTTTCGCTCTCTACACTTAAGAGAAATTTTACATACGACCAACCATTTGCTGATTCTCTCACAAAAAGTGGGGACATATGTAAAATAGATGATAACTTAATAAAGGGGCCAAAGTGTTGTGTGTGTGGTCATATGAGTCAGGTGGTCTGGTAGTAGAACTCTAGAATTGTCCCTATTTTAGGGTCTCTAAATTTGTGTCTTCATAAGTTTTGTGTGCTAGTTTAATTATACAATCCCCATTGACTTTACTCTAACACTTTGATTAACATAGGTCAATGTAAAGCTAACTCAAACGGTTAGTTGCATTCACTTTTACATTTGAAGTTCTGCATTTGATTTCCCTTTCTCTTATATCGCTAAAAATTTAAAAGTCAACCTTGTTTTGGTTTCAGTTGTACTCACCTGTGATATAGTTTACGGATGTGGAGACCTTGTCACTGTGCTCGGTCAATCTGTAGTTTGGAGCCACAGGCAGCAACCCATCTGGCCCAACAGCGTATAAGAGCCTTGATAGTGGCTGGTTGGTCTCCAATTGGAACCCTAGGTAGGTTCTGTTGGACTGGGATGTAAATAAGGAAAAGTTGCTTCCAATTTGAAGGCTCCCCTTGTTGGGCTCCACAAGGTTAGGTGAGGTCCCACCCAAGTAATACGGCTTGATCTCTCCTCCTGTTGGGGACATCCACCCCACAATTGCACTGGACCCCACCATCTGGCCATTGCTTGAGAACCCAATTGCAATGTATGAATTTGCAGCTGGTGCTGAGAGGACAAAGGTCCATAGGTTTGATGAGGTCTGTGAGTACTGCAAAAATAAGAGAGATTTTCATACATGATTTTGATCATTGGATGTGATTGAGATTAATATCATAATGTATAGAGCTTTTGGATGGGACGTAACGGACAAGTTGAGAAAATCTCAATTGACTTAACAAGGCGATCAAAGTTTCAATAAAACTAAGTATATGTATAGAGTTTTTGGATGTGATGTTTGTTTTTTTTTTTTTTTTTTAAACAGACAGACATATTGAGAAAATTTCAGTTGATCGAAGTTCAATAAAATGGTGCATAAGTGAGATTTTCTCGACATGCACAAACCTTGAGTAAAGAGAATCCTTGCGTGTATCTATGTATGTATGAATGAATGATGGAAGAGATGCGGTTGACTTACTCTGAGGATGTAGTTGTGAGCATCCCAAACAGCAAGGCAATTGAGGGAAGCTGCATCAAATGGCAGATTGACATTCTGCAGGTTAAGAGTTGAGCTGCAGGAATCTGTTTGTGAATTCACAGTGGCTGATAAGCCAAAGATGAAGACGATGATGAAACCTATGAATGCCTTCATCTCTCTCCTCTTTTTTCTGTTTCTCTCTCTAGTTCTAGGTGGGTGAAGAAAACAGGTAAAGTAGTGGTGTGATCGTACGAATGTTTGAGTAGATGTATATACCTGGAAGAAGTTGACAAATGATTCAATATTGCAATGGGAGTTGATAAGAATAATATGCAGCTGTTGTAATCAACATGCCATATACTTTGGGCTCTCAGAACAATTATTTTTTAAGCAAAAAAAGTAACCTATATGAAATGTAAGCATTAGGTGAGCCGCATGACCTAGCTTTGTTCTCATTCACCAAAGACCAAACTACTGCTTTCCAAGCACGCACTTCAGATTTGTGACATATGGAAGAATATGGGTTGTTTCAAAGCTTATATTAAAAATCAGACAAATAATGATTTTCGCATTTCAGTTTTCTTCTTTTGCAGTCCTCCACTTGTCCTTGTTACTTGACCTTTTTTGATTTACCCTATCAAGGAAAACGATATGGAAGGTCTAAAAGCATAAAAAGCACTTTCAAATAATCGAAAACATTTGACACGAAAAGTTAGAAGTGCTTTCAGTAAACATTTTCTAGTGCTTTAGAGGTGTTTGTAGGAATCACTATAGCTTCTAAGAGAATCTCAAGCGTTTCAATCAAAAAACGCGTATCAACGGAAGTGTTTTTCCCAAATGAACCTACTAAGATCAAAGAAGGTAAAATGGATTTCGTGTAACTTTAAATCGTCCAAAGGTCTGGTCAACCAGAGCATTTGGTAAATGGGGCATACCTGGACCTACAGTTTAGGGTTTGGACCAAGACATACAGCCAATCTAAAAACCTTTTCTTGATCTGTTGTGGCTTATCTTTTTCTAATAGAAAGAGCTCACTTTGTGAAGACCAACTTTCTTGATTTGCTCTTTGCAATTATGTTACGGGGGCTACAGCCGGCAGCAGTAAAGTACAAAGCAAGAATATATGGGCGGCTGAACCACCTCCACCTCCGTCGGGGAGAGAGAGAGAGAGAGAGAGTTTAATAAGTTGCATCCTAAGAATTTAGCACTTTTTATTTTGGGTTCTGAATTTACATTGCATTCTGGCATAATTCTGAAAGAGCAATGCTATGCAAAGCATTCCCAACTTTTGGGGTCTGAATTTACACCATCACTGTAGCATACAGATGGACTGAGTTTCGTAGCTTTGCTCAAGAAATAAACTTAAATGAATTGATCAATGTACAACATGTCGACCTCTGCCAAGATCTTAGAACATCACCATCAGGCACTTGAAATCTCAGTTTCACCACCGCCGAGCCCTGAGCATAGAGAAAAAGTGAATTATCTACAGCCCTAAAACAATATTTAATAGCATATTATGCTAGAATGAATGTTGGATGACAAATTTATTCAAGAACTGTTGAGTGATGATTAAGGTTCAAAATTATGAATTCACGAATGTACGCCCCCAATGGCCTGGAGATGAACATGAGATCGACTATCATATGTTTAGGCTTTCGTTATATTGTATGTTAAGAATGTTTTTTTGAAAGCCCTAAAGGACAGGCAGCTGATAGAAGCATGACGATATGAAAGTTAAGAAAACCCAAAACCCCAGCAAGCACAAACATTTTAATCCCCAACGGCGATCCTTTTGAATCCAGATTACCAGATTTGTTGCAAGTAAGAAAGCCATCCACATCACGCTATCCGCAAATAATGAACATTTCAAACCAAATTTAAATCTGGAATTCGAAAGAAAAATGGCAGCCCTACGCTGTACAAATAAATCTACTTTCAGATAACTATGGGTTAAAGAAAGTTACCCAATGATGCATATGCTGGTATGCTGACAAAACTGGGACATGAGCTACTTGAAGCTAACTTGTCACTTAGACTGCCAGATCCAACCAGACAATCCCGAGGCTGCAGTAGCATAAAAAAAATCAGAATACATGAGAAAATCTCTGCACATAATAAAAGACCATAATGAAAGTAGACCATGGAATTCCTCATTAATGCCCATCTAAACATAATCTCCATTGTCCAATATGTTACTAGTTTTCAACATTTTTAGGAAACGACCTAATTCAATTGTTGAAACTCCAGTCACAAATGCCTGAAGTAAAATACGCCGGAAAGATGTATAACCCTCTCCCATCAAAACAACAGAAATTAACTCCCGACGTACAAGTGTATATTTTCTTTGATTCAGTTAAATATAGGATCTAAATGAACTCTAGATAGGAGGCAAACCTGGAAATCCTTGTAGAAGCATAGATGAAGTTCCTCCACGGCCCCTTTTTTGCAAACCAACCTCGGGGTTGCCCGGAAAGCATTCTGAATAGCAGAAACAATGCCTCCAAGAGGATATTTTTCAGTATTGGATGGTACATATCCTGCTTCATTCAGGATTTGCTGAGGACAGGGAAAGGAAACTACCATTACACACCAAATACATAAAATGGACATACTCCAAATTAAACCAATTTTCTATTAAGAACCAAAAAATAATGGGTATGAATGAATTAACAAATGATGGACAGCCAAGTATGAATACATGGCAGTGATAGTGTTAATATACAAAATAGCCATTTCTCTAGAACTTACAGTGACATTGTACTTAAAATAGACATTGAGGGTTGTCAAAAAGTAATTGTATTCATCTCCAACTACTGGAGAGGAGCAAGTCCCGTGCTTCTCTGCAAGAAACAATGATAATGAACGCAGGAATCAGAACTTGCAAAAGTGATGCATGCCAAGAAAAAAAGGTCATTGCTTGTAGGTCTGTACTCAACCTAATTATGGCTAATAAGACTCATTTGGCAATTTTTTTTAAAAGCAAAGGCTACAGACAAACAACTGACTTTCATTATTAAGCAGCAAAGGGCAAAAGCCAAAGATGCTTACCCCACTGCCATTGTAATACCATGCAATTCAGTCATCACGGAAACATAAGAATGAAGAATAGTTAGCTCAAAGTAAGGGTCATCTAGAATTGGAGAAGAAATTAAGTCCACAATCAATGATCACCTCATGTCCCCAAAATGATCCTTTTCCACCACGGCAGGATGATGGTTTACCACAGCTTAAAGACGGCCAGTATTTATCTAAAGCATCGTGCAATGTTGAGATCTACACAGTAGATAAAGAGATAGTGGTGAGATTTACGGACCGCCACTACAAGAGACATTTAAAATGAAAATTTAAACATTTCTGTTTAAGCACCATAGTTGAAGATAAGGCGACATTAGTGTGGGTACTATATTCGAGTTAATCAGTATTCATTACATATTTCTCATGCGCTAAAAGAAAATCTTTCTTTTGCGGAGTTCCCGATTCCTTTATGTGAGCAAATAGAGTCTCAAAAATATTCACAACCCACAAACCATGTAGACACGAAATAAGAAATACACACCTCTTTATCATCAAAGGTTTTCTGTGTGCAACAGGCAGGCCAGGTTCCATCATTGTAGTCAGGCCACAATCCATCTGCCAGTCACACATTAAACGCCGGTTAGCATATCTCCCACACGTATAAATAAAGCATCAAACAACAGTCAATGGATAAAATACGGGTTGGACGACTTTGATCGTACATATTTGTGCCTTCTGAATTCCCAATTAAAGAAATTAGCTTCCAACAATATGAACCAACATGCCCTAATCAAAATATTTGAACTTCAACTGAAAAGTCAACTTAACTCATGCTTTTCATCTGTGCATTACACAATATTATACAAAAGCTTAATACTTACGGATTGTAAACATCGTTGGAGCATTTGAGCTGAAACAAGAAAAACCCAAAAGTAGAAAATCAACTCAGAAAGCTCAACCTAATTTACCAAATTAAAATCAACCAAAACGAAAAAAAAAAATATCAATCTTTTTGAAATTAATAGTTAAAATAACGAAAAGATTATGAACCCGCGGCAGCAAGCATTGGAGGAGCAACAATGGCGGGTGCGCTGACAGAAAGTGCCAGGCCATTGCAGGGCCAAGTTGAAGTAATCGAACTCCCTCTGCCCTCCTCCTCCTCTGCTTCCGATTTCGATTCCGATTCCGGCTGGCTTGGCGTCGATCAGGCACAGAGAAGCGGCCACCGCAATCAGTGCTACTGCAGAGGCGAATTGAGCAGAGAGAATAGCCATTTTTGAAGAGATGGGAGAGCTTGTTTGATTTTCGGAGCGTCTGGTGTGATTTATAGGGGCGGTTAAGGGTAGATTCGTCAGGTTACTTGGGCAGTTGGGCGAACGGGAAAAAGCCCCGAATGGGCACGCTTTCTCCAATCATTGTGTAAGTTGTAACGGACGTTAATGGAATTTGCTTTGTTTTATATTTCTTTTTGCATTTGTTTTGGAGTTATTTTTGTAAAGGAATAAAAAGATATTCTTTGTTATATTCTCGTGTTTCAAGTTTCATATGACCATATTTATGAACATAAAATATAAAACTTGAAATCGTAGACTGATTTATAGTTTTATCTTGTTTTTATAGTATTCATGGTTTTGGAAATTTGGAATGTAAGGTTAGGATTCAAGTTTAGAAAATGGGAATGACTCTTTAGTTTGAACTTGAATCTTTAATTGACGATTTAAAGCTTGAAGTTTGTGTTTCGGTGGGGCTCTAAATTATGTGCGGGTCGATAAATTAGTCCCATGTTCTAATTTTACGTGACAATTATAATTACAAAATGTTATAATCATAGTTATCAACGCAAACAATACAATTACAAAATGTTATTAATTATGGAAACTATTATTACTTAGTATTACGGTCTAATGGTATTGCTCTTCATTAAGTGAGAGGTCTTCATTCGATTCTTGCCAAATGCGAATTTGAATCATATTATTGTTAGCTTATTGTGAGACTAAGTTTGTCTATCTCTGTTAGTGTAAATAATATTATTTATTAAAAAATTAAAAAAGAAGAAGAAGAGATTGATACTACACACAAGCCAAACAGATAATAAAGGAAACTAGTTAAAGGTACATCAACAAAGAATTTAAATGATGCAAAATCAGATGAATTGTAACGAAAGCAAATCCCATAGCCATAGGCCATTTGAGACACCAATGGCGCGCCCTAAATCCTCACCCCCCGCCCCATGCCCTTCTGAACTTTCGTCGGCCTACTAGTTTGTCGCCCGAGTATTTTTCTTCTTTTTTTTTTATCCTAATATTTTTTTTTTTTTTTTTTTTTGTTTTGTAGGTTCTAACTTTTTAGATTTTGTTTTTTGAGAGGTTTCCGTCTTATGTATCCTTTTTTTCTATTTTCTTGTAAAGTAAAGTTTATGTCCTCTTTAATTAAGATAAGCTTTTTTATTTCGTTTTAGACTTATTTTTTACTATACTTCATGAAACCGATTTCAATCCCACTTTGTCATTTGAAACTTAAAAGTCATCACTTTAATCTTTGAAACTCGATTTTGATATCACTTTACCCCCTGAACACACAAAAGTTATCACTTTACTCCCTGAAATTCGATCTATTCCTTCAAACTTAAAAAAAAAATCGCCACTTTACTTATTAAACCTCAAATGTCGCTTACATTGCCTTGTTTCTATTTTTTTTTTTTTTTTAGAATAAGTTCATCCATTCAACATTTATAATTAGCATTATGCCAAATTTCCTCCTGAAATAAATGATAAGTAAACAAAGAACAAAAAAAAATAAAAATAAAAAAAATAAACCATCGTTCCTCTTCACCAATCATCTCCATTAAGAACACAAGAAATAACAAAATCAATAGAACAAATGATAAGGTGGCTGATAATGGAGGAAAAGGGATGAATGCTTTACAATATATAAAAATTAAATTTTCTTATTTTTTTCGTTTTAATCTATGTGGCACTATTTGATTTGATATGTGAACTTTATAATTGTGTCACGTCAACAATAAGTGAGCCTTAATTATGCCATATACATATACTTAACAGTTATTTAATGAAATACATATAAACAAATCAAAGTGAAGTAAATATTAAGTTTCAGAGAATAAAGTGACAATCTTTGACTTTGAGGAGGCAAAGTAAGATCGAAATTTAGTTTCAGTGAGTAAAGTAACGACTTTTGAGTTTTAGCAGGGTAAAATGAGATCGAAATCGAGTTCTAAAAAGTAAAATGACAACTCTCGAGTTTCAGTGAGTAAAATATGATCAAAATCGAGTTCTAAGACTGATTACAAAGGTAAACAAATTTTAACCAATGAACTACAAGCGATTTGCCAAGCCATTTTTTGGTTGGGAAAATGGCAGAAAAGCACTAAAACTATTAAAGAAATAAAAAAAATCTCAGAAAGAAGTCTGGAAATAGAAATCGAAAACCCTCTAACTCCAAAAGTCCAAACCCTAGTTTTAGTTGGATTTGTATATTAATCATTAAATTTTAGACACACACAGACTCCTCTCTCTCACCACTCTGTTCCTCTGTCTTCCCCACCACCTTCGTATTCACCAATACTCGACTCTCTCTCTCCCCTCGCTCTTTCTCGAACCTTCTCGATCTGCAAAAGCCCTAACTTGACAATTTGAGCACCACTCTTCCGAACCCCCAAACCCCAGCAGATTGGGAATCCGTAATTTGCTTCAATTTTCAGGTCAATTACAATCCCCCAACATATAACCCTATTCGCGTTCTGCTGGGCGTTTTGATTCTTCGAGCTTTGTTCGTCAATCACTCAATTGGGGTTTGGAATTTTGGTACTTGGCAGCTTTTAAAGTGTTGGGCAGCCGGGGAGGAAGGAGGAACGAGCTCTAATTACGATTTTGCCCTCGTGATCTGGGTCGCTACTAGTTCGAGAGCAATTCGGGATCCATGTCAGAGGTCTGCTCTTTGTTTTACCCTTTTTCCCACGCTTTCTCTCTCGTACTTGTTTCAAGGCGTTGGATTTCTGTGTGTTTCTACGTGTTTTGAAGTCTGTGCAATTGGTACTTTGTCCAAGTTTTCATCTTTTGTAATATCAAGATTTTGAACACTAACCCATTTATTGTTTTTGCAAACATTTGCTTTTGGGTTATCCGAAAAGTTGCTGGATTTCGTTATGTATTGACCGGTAGTTTCAGTAACAATAGAGATTTATCCGAAAAGTTGTGGTGATATTCGTGTCGTTTGGTTAAGAAAATATGGCAATCAAATCTGTCACTGTTAGTGAAATTCAAACCTTTTTGCATGCTTAGCCGCTTGCCCTAGTTCGGTTAAAACAGCAGTGGGTGTAGAGTTATTAGTGATATTCTTAGATTGGTGCTGCGTGAATCTATAGTAGGAAGGAGCTAAGCAAAATCTTTGTTGGATTAGTAAGGTAGCATTCTGAGTTCTTCTGTGGACGCTGATGACCTTGTTGAGTAGTCAACGTAAGTTTTTTCAGCGGTTGTCTTTGAGTATTTGAAAGCATCCCCGAGGTTTATTTGCGGGACTGTTTTATTTGGGTTCTCTGGGAGAGAGATTAGCATAGGAAGCTCGATATTGTATACTTTGGCTTGCTTATGACGCATACAATTTAGTGTACGGTGCTCTTTCTCCTGCCGGAGTCATCCCCTGCTGTTTTTGGTATTAGATATGTGAGTGGCTTTGATAGAAGTTGAAGTGGTAGGTATGCTCTGAATGTGCATCTCTTTGTCTGAATATTTTATACTCAGACATTATTATACTTTGTTGGAGAAAAACTTTGAACGTGTTCCCTTTTTATTTTGGATTTTATTACTTATTCATATTTCTATGGTCTGTCAAACTCATGTTTTATTTTGTGACATCACAGTTGTTAGTGGGCCACCACTTCATGAAACATTGACCCATGGATCCTGAAGGAACAAAGTTTGGACGAGGTAGAACGTTTTTCCAATATGGTGTTCCATTACGGTTTTCTTTGTATTCCCTTCTTGGGTGAATTTATATTGGTAGTTAATTACATATTTAACAGAACTATTCATAGTTGAAGCACTCTTGAAAACCTCATTTATTCATGTATAGCACTTAATTTTGAACTAATCCAGAGAGCCATGTGGTTCTTGGATAAGCTATCACTACATATTTAAAATTTAATTTCAGATACTCAAATTTCATAACAAAAACTCTCTTAAAGTATACTTATTTCAATCTACTGAGAATTTGAGTGTTTTGCTTCTATTATGTCAGTGAATGCATGTTTTGAAATTTAAGAGAATTTTATTTTATCTGATGAAATTCTGTTGGATACAGGACCAAAAGAGTTGACTGGTGCTGTAGATCTCATTAGTCACTACAAGTTACTTCCCCACCATGAGTTTTTCTGCAAGCGATCACTTCCAGTATCAATATCAGACACACACTATCTTCACAATGTGGTGGGAGACACGGAAATCAGAAAAGGAGATGGGATGCAGTTGGATCAACTTATCCAGAGTGCATCATATCCCCGGGATACGAAACCACGCATACAGCCTTTTGACCTAGATACTCTCAGAGAGGCTTTCCATCTTAGAGAAACGGCTCCTATTGATCTGCCACTTGTGAGACTTTCTTACTTATAATGGATGACAGTCTGTTATATTTCTTCTTTTCCAATAGATATTTGGTCCCTCAAAACCGTTTTCCTTTCCACGTTCTCATTGTAATTGATATTTTGTTTTGTCTTCTATAGGCAGATAAGGGGACTCCGACTATTGCAGGGAAATCAAAGAGTGAGTCTAAAGACAAGGAGAAGAAACACAAAAAGCACAAGGACAAAGACAAGGACAAAGAGAAGGATAAAGAGCACAAGAAGCGTAAACACCGTCATAAAGATCGAAGTAAAGATAAAGACAAGGATAAGAAGAAGGATAAAGGTGGGCATCATGATCCGGCCGGTGATCACTCAAAGAAACATGAAAAGGTTAGAAACTGGTACACCTGTACTGTTAAATTCCTTCTCTTAAGCGCCTGGTAATATACAAGAGCGACAATAAAAGAATGGTTTTGAATTTTTTTTATCCAAGTAACTCTGATAATGTCTGAAGTTATGAACTGCCATTGTTTGTTGCACGATCGAATTACAGTTTTTCCATTCACCAACACCAGATTTAATTTTTTTCAAATGTAGTTGAATATTCAGAGGGATTCACATGCTTTAGTTTTGGTACTTGTATAATCACAGAAAAGGAAACATGATGGAGATGACGATCTTAATGATGTCCACAGACACAAAAAAAGTAAGGTAATATAAACATGGAACTTTTCATTTGGATTTACACTTTTGTATCTCCAATCCTTTCTTGAATGTGTTACTTGGGATCTGCATGATATGCCCACTATTGTTGTATAGTTCCTTTGCGTCTACATTTACCCAAGGTCTCTGTTTCTCACTATCTTTGCAGCATAAGAGCTCAAAACTTGATGAAGTTGGTGCAATCAAGGTAGCTGGCTGAAATGAGGGGATATTTTAGTAATTTTGTTTTCTTCAAATGGTTGTCGTGCATAGTCTGGAGGGGTCTTTCACCTGATTTTGTGTTTCTTGAGGTACACACCTTTACTTTTCCTGTATATTTAGGTTAAGATACTCAGTACTTTTAGTTTCTGCCTTGCACTGGCACCATTTTATTTCTTTCCTCTTCACAAACTGATGGGTCAACTATTCATTTTTATTCACACTTGATATGGCTTTATGGCCTCTGTAATATGTGATCAGATGAGGTTGGCATGGAAATAACGATATATAAATATGAAGGCAAATTAGAGAATGAGTTAAACGGCTTTGTCTAGTTTTAGGAAGTTAGATGTAGTACCAGCTGAGGTTGGTCAAACGCAATGCACGTGCACACTATTCATCTCATCTGTGTGGTAAAAACAATATTCCTTTGTAATATGTTGTTGAGAAATATGCATTTGGGGACTGTCAAGAGTTTGCATGTGATGTAGTTCTGTGGGCTTTTTAGTTTCTTATAAGTACTCTGTATGTGCAGATCTTGTTTAAAACAATTACGCCATGCCAAAACGTCCGCTCTCTTGTTTGACAAACATTCTGCTTTTAATAGGTGTATGCGTAATATTGTATTGTTGCCATGGAACTTGGATACATGATACTTTTTGGTTTATGTGCAGAATAACTTCTGAACTGACTAAAGATTGTGACGAAGGTGAATTCACCTGCTGAAAAAAATGTGGATTAAAGGTAAAAGGTAGTGAAAGTGAACTTCTTTGTATAATTACAATGATCTAATATGACTGCCAGTAGTTTGCAAACAACTATGCTATTCTGTTTTCATGGCACATTGGATATGGTACTATGTCCATGGTATTACTGTATTTTAGCATTTTTTAGAAGTCCAGAATTTATAATTTGAGGGAGAGTTTGTACTTTGTAGCTTCCAGTTGTAGGGAAAAATAGGTTTAGGAAGAGATTGTACATATGATTCCTTTTGTTCCTGTTTTGTTGTTTCAACGGCTAATGCCTAGGCTTCTGTTCTCACCTAAATTCTAATTGGTATCAGTGAAATATTCTTATGGAAAAGAAAAAAGACGTGATGATAGGTATTCGAGACGATCATTATTCCTGCTGTTGTATTGTATTTTGCAGTGCGTGACATCGTTCTTCTATGCTGCTTGGTCATGAAGGAAACTTTTCAGGCCTTTTTTCATATTAGGTTAGGTTTCTATATATTTTCGGGTTTGTTTGTTAGTAGCAGCTGAAACACAAATAGTATCCCCCAACCCTCCAAGATGGCGACTTTGGAAATGCGGTCTAGCCTTGTGTGTGACTAATTAGAGAAACCATTCTTGTCAGTGTCCAGTTTTACTAAACCCTCATGAGAGAAGCCTTCCTCGACATATGCAAGTGGCAAGGAAGAGAAAATGGTTCGTTGTTTCTGGCACCTTTTGGTGAGGAAAACAGGAGTAACCTGAAAAAAATTAGTCAGTTTAACTCTGATCATCATCATCTAGATCTTTTGGACGCTTAATCCTACGTTGAGATGTTATCAAGTTGGGATTGAATGAGAGGTGACAGAAGGATTGCAGCTCGTTCACTTGATGTCACATATTTAGTAGCTCAAATATATTGGAATTTGGAAGAGCGTTTTGCTTATGAGGCATGTAGGACATTGTTCGTTGTTGATTCGAAGGGAAAAACAAAATGATTAGGTTGTTCTTATGGATTTTATCTTGATTTTATTTGGAGGTATAAGTGATAAGTTTTCGTTCTCAAGAAAAGTGTTCTGATTTATGTTTTGCTTCTAATCTTTAGGCCTTTGCTCATTCTCAAGGTATGTGTATCCCAACTAACTGCCGAAAACTATAACTCGATTGCGTTCAGCATTCTGCTGACCTTTATAACGAAGGGGCGGCTTTCTGGGACTTTTGTGCCAACTGACTTATGATGAATTGTTGAATGCACCTCAGTTTATAGATGTTAAAGAAGATTGTTTATTCGCAGGCCTTTAGATAGAGCATAGTTTATAGCTGTTTAATAGATTCTGTATATTGTTTCGCCAGCGTAATAAGGTTCCGGCTGTCGAACCAAATTTTAGTCCATATGCTTGATCGTTCTTGCTACTTCCAAATATCACTGTGGACTCCTAAATTTTAGGCACTTGGAAAGAAGTCCAACTTTTTCCTCCAGGTCTGCACAAACACAGTTCCTTAATAATTCGAATAATCTCGTCGGCTACGCAAGCTTAATATTCAGTCTTTACTTGGACAAAGTTCTAGTGTGAGTTTTCTTAGTTGCTCGCTAATTACTGCAACTCATCATACTACAGAGTTACATGTTTCTATTGCTTTGTGCTCCGGGCTCCAACTGAGTTTCTGGGATAAGTATTTTGTGCCTCAATGAAACTAAGTGGGTTGGTCTTAAGGCGAAGGATCTTGAAAACTCAGGTTCCAATATTTGATATTCGGGCACAAATAGATCGAGAAACGGTGTTGGCATCATTGTGGATAAGACTCTAGCAAAAGAAGTTGTATATGTTAAGAGGGTCGGGGAGAGAATTATAGCAATCAAGATTGTGATAGGACAAATACACATCAATGTGGTTAGTGCATATGCATCTCAATTAGGGTTGGATAGGAGTCTTAAGGAGAAATTTGGGAAGGTCTTTGAGAATTGGTTCAAGGAATTTCTCAGATGGAGAAACTACTCAAAGAAGGAGATTTAAATGGGCATCTAGGTAATGAGACAGACAACTGTAGAGGCTTTCATGATGGTCGTGGTTTTAGAGAGAGAAACAAGGAGGGGGAAGCCGTTCTAGATTTTGCTATGGGATACGATCTTTTCCTAGCCAATACCTTTTTTTTTTTTTTTTTCTTAAGAAGAGAGCATGTGATCACTTACAAGAGTGGGTCATCAAAAACACAAATAGATTTCTTTCTAATGAGGAAGGTGGACCCTATAACTTGTAAGGACTACAAAGTTATACTAGGGGAGGGTCTAGTTAACCAACATCGATTGTTGGTGATGGATGTACATGCCAAAAGAGATAAAAGGAAGAAAAATACCTTGTTATATCCACGAACTAGATGGTGGAATTTAAAAGGGGAAAAACAAGTCACTTTCAAAGATAAGATACTTGCCTAATGTGTTTGAGGTTTAGAGGGAACCGCTAGCCAAATGTTGGATTCCATGGCTAGTTGTATCTGAAAAGTTGCAAAAAGGGTATTAGGAGAGTCTAAGGTTTTGCTCCACATCAATAGGAATCTTGATGGTGGAAGGAGGAGGTACAAGATAAGATTAAGGCTAAGAATGAATGTTGAAAAGCCTTATACAAGGATAGAACCGATGAAAACTGTATAAGATAACAAAGAAGGAAGCAAAGAAAACCTTGAGAGAAGCAAAGCTAGTGGCTTTGACGACATGTATAAGTAATTAGATACGAAAGAAGAGTTGAATATCCATAAACTAGCTGGAGCAACGGAAAGGAAGACAAAGAGACTTGAACCAAGTAAGGTGCATTAAGGATGAGAATTTGCATGAGGACATAAAACTTCTGGCCAAATACAAAAACAATTCGATCCCACATAGTTATTGTAAAGCTTAGCATCATCCATTTCGTTGTTATTTGTGGAGTTGTTGGATTCTCCAATGTCCATATTAAAGCACCTAAACCATTGAAACGGTTTCATTTCAAAAAACAAGGGTTATATTTGAAAAAGAAGAAGAAAGATGATATGATCTTACCGTACTTGGCAGTCACATTGGTGGACTAGAGGAAGGATGGAGCAGAGAGAAATGAGGAAGAGCAATCGGTAGAGAAGATAGAGGAGGAAGAAGAGTCCCACATAGTTAAACGTGCAAATGGATAATCTTAATTATCCTTATTTTTATTTTATTTTAATAAGCAATTAAAAGTTTTTAAAATCTGGCTTAGTGACATGGCTATGCCAACTCATCCTACCTCATTTGGTTTAGGGTTTTGAATTAGGAGATTTGGTCTACTTAGCATTAGCCTTAATATTTATAGTTAATATAATAAAAGGGATTTTTTGATATAGGCGCCTTAGTTTTGAATTTTCTAGATCAAATATCCATGCCTTTTAGTGATTTGATTAAACTTTTTTTTGTCATAATTTTGGTGCTATATGCACATTATATTGTATCAAATTTCCTATAATCTAACCTTTTGATTACACTCTCCTCCATTAGAGATAATTGTAAAAAAAAAAAAAAAAAGTTGGTTAGATTCAATTTATTTTCACAATAATGCAACAAATTAGCAATAATTATCTACGATTTAAGAATTTTCTTTCCAAAATAGTTTAGAATATTTTTAAATCCCCCAAAATCAAATGTATCGAAATAAGTTTTTCTTTTAGTATGTTAAGAGAAAATAGGATTGAGAATACTATAAACGTACCAATACATAATGTGCACAAAATAAAACGTACCAAAATAAAAATAATGTACCAATATTAACAATATGTATCAAATCAAACGTACCAAAATTGCAAATCAACGTACTAATTAATGATTTTTGTAAATTTAAACGTACTCGCAGATAATATATACGTAATGTATGGTACCTAATAATAATTTGTCAACAACTATACTTAAAAAAATAGCAAAAAAAATAATTTCACAAAAAAATTGAAAAAATTACATGGAGCTTTTATGTTGATAACCAACTATTTGAAAAAGAAAAAACCATTTGGAAAAAGAAATAATATTAAATGTTTGCATAACATAAAAAAAAAAAAAAAAAAACTATGATCGAAAAAACATATTTGAAAGAAGGGAAAATATAGTTTAATTACTAATATCTCCACTAAATAAGGAAAAGTGCATCATGCAGATAAAATGATAAATTCAAAAATTATTTTAATTTTAAAAAATAGAGGTGACTATTGGTCAAAGCACTTTAATTAAATTTTAAAAAGGCACAGATGTTTAATCTAAATGATCTAGAAAAATTGTAAGGGATTCTAATTTTCCCATAATAAAATTATTTGGACACACAAATTAACACACTGGCACCCCTACAAAATTACCAACTTATGTTCATATTTAAGAGTTGACCAATATATATTTTGATTTCTATGACACAAAAACTATGAAAAAAAATGGTATATTCAACGCATTTCTTCCCAGAGACCAGGTTCCAAGACGGTTCACCCATCATATGGATGGGCTCTCGGTTTCTTATACAGTGCCGTTACTTCCTAATCTCAAGATCCGAGGCTTGAACACCCGACTACCACCTAGCACTTTTTAGAATCCTGTACCTTTGACATAAAGACGAATGGGTTTAGTAGCAATCATATGTGTAGTATGAGATAAATCATAAATTGCGTAACGATATTGACGGCAAAGGAGATATATCAGTAAGAGTAAGATACTGCAAGAAACCATCTAACTCACGATATGAGGTGAGAGAGACAAAGAGATCCATCATACACGGTAAGAGAGATTTTGGCAGCAAGCGGTGTAGAAGCAGGTTTAAAGGAAACCATGTCAAACTATGTGATAGATCACGGGCATACTTAAGTTGATGAATATGGAGGCCGGTTGAATAACGAAGTGACCTGTAAGCCTAAGAAATAACTGAGTGGCCCCAAGTTCTTGATGTCAACTATTGTGATTCACGATATCATCAGTGTAGAGTAAGAAATAAATAGTGTAAGAAGAATGTTGATAAATAAAAAGAGAAGAATTTGCAAGACTCTAACAAAAACCGACATGTAACAGAAAATAACTGAATCGTTAGGACCTTACATGAGGCGTCTGCTTGAGCCATGTAAACATCTTCCTGAAAATAATCATGCAAGAGTGCATTTTTTTTCATCTAATTACCGATGTGGCCATGCACAAGATATATCAAGACTAGAAATTGTTCGAATAGTAGCCGATTTAGTGGTACATGACTAAATGTGTCCGCATATATAGTCAATGTCGAGGCGCTGTTGAAAACTCTGACCACAACACCGGCCTTAAAACGTTCAACAATACTATCCGAATTACACTTCATACGAAAAAACTCAGTTGTAACCTCCGGAGTAAAACATTTATTTCTTCATTCCTGGCTTGAGCCATTCAGAATGCTTGAAAGCTTGGGAGTAACAAGTGGGTTCTTGATAATTAATAGACGTTCACAGAGCATGAGAAGAAGAATATCGAATAGTGCTGTCAGTGCAAGTATTTTTTATTTTTGAAACACATCAGTGCAAGTATTTGGTTGAATATGCCGTCACAAAACCGAGTCGGCACCTTAGGATGTGTTCTGCACTGGACTCGTGCCAAGCGCAGGTAGAACAGTGGTGGCGGAAGTGGATGCGACAGTATTGGGGACGGTTCCGACTTCCACTTCTTATACACTCTTATTTACTTCTATTTTGTATAATCAAGGTTAAGTTACGTTAATATTTTATATTGATTTTTTTTATAAAGATAATAAGATAAAAAATAATAATAATATAAAATATTAACGTGATTTAAACATAACCGTACAAATAAAAATGAATGAGAATGTATGAGAAGTAGAAGGAGAGAGTGATGCGCTAGGGATCACTGCATCGGTGTGGGGTCTGGGTGCTGGGTGCTGAGCGCGAAAGGCTGTGCAAATGGCGGTTCACAACAGGTGTCAGGTGGAGCTGGCTTGAGCTGATGGAAATGAGGAATTTTTAAAAGTAAGCAGGAACCCCGGCTCAGATTAACAGTTGGTGTCCTCCTCTAATCCAAAATGATATCTGCCCCACTATAGCGAAATAGTTATTTTATAAAGGAGTGTTTTAGTAGCACCTTACATATTGTTGAGTATATCCATATAAATATTTATTATTAAATAGCTCATGTATCTTAACATGAAATGACTATTTAGCATCAAAAAATTTAAAAGAAATTGAATACACAAAAATTATTTACTAATATGAATCCTAACCCTAAATTGGTAGTCTAAACCCGAATTCTAAAATCCTAAAACAAAACCTCCCAAATTGATATAAGCCTAAACCCTTAAAAAAAAAAAATTGTTATGAACTCGTAACCATGCGTACTTCATCATGGATTTTGTAAGAATTACAACATTTTTTTGTTATCAAAATCTATAACTACTCCACAACCTTTGATTTCTCGAAAAAAAAAAAAAAAGAATAAAACCATTATAATATAAACAATTTTTTCTCTAAGTGGTAATCTTGGCAGTTGGCACTACTTTCTTTTTTCTTTTAAGTTTTGTACAGTAAAAAGAATTGAACCCATTATAATTTTGAAAAAAGAAAAAAAATTCATCCGTGTCCTATCATTATTTTTTGGGTCAAATTTTGTGAGATTGACTCTATAGATGAGTAACAGAGAGGGATGCAAATTTTGGATGTGTGCTCTACTAGTAACATAAACCAACAATTGAATATCATGTCATTGACCTCGTAATTAGCATTTACATGTTTAGCGAGAGTCTTGAAATTTGAAGATGTGGTGAGAATGAACATGGTTATGCAGATGGTTGAACTTCTTGTAGCCACTTCTCTTTAGGTTTACAGATGGTTGTATGCTAAAATGGATGGAAAGTAAACAGGTTTTACATGAGGGAATCGATATACAATACTAAGGAGAGGTAGTAGAGCTTTTACAGTAGACAAAAGATAGATTTTCTGAGGGAACTATAGCTAAAATGACTAAATCTGGACAAGTTTTAGCTTTTTTGGGTATGAACTGACTTGAGAGCAGAGTTTGCATGTCTTTTGATTGGTTGGTTGAGTGTCTTTGTCTTTGGTGTCTCTTTCTTATTTTATAGGCAATTTAGCCCGACTGTCTTGGCTTTTTTCTTGGCCAATGGCTTTCAGGGCCAGTGAGTCATCTCTTATTTACTTATTTATGCTATTAGAAAGTGATTTTTGGCTAGTCGTGAGTTGGTCTTTGTTAGCCATCACTTCAATCATTGGCACATGGCTTATGCTGCTGCTGAGACAACCTCACTTTGTTTCAGGCTCGTCGAATGGGCTTCGGGCAAGTTCCTATTTGCTTTAGCATCCTTGATCCTTATCATTATAAAGCCCAATGTTAAATATTAACCCAACCAATGCCCCCTTTAATCATTGTTAAGTCTGCTAATCGAGGCATTAATGATGAATAAACACTAACGTCATGCTTTACCTCGGGACTTGCACCACTTAAACAACCGTTTTCGATTAAACCTTTGCACTAACCCACGATCTCCAACGTTAATTAACTGCCTGTTCTATAACCTCCATTTAAATTTCTCAGCCAACACTTCTAGCAACCCTTATTATCTAAGTTTCCAGAATTTTCAGAATTCTCTTGCCTTCACAGTTCTTCCTTGCTTTCTACCTTCAACCTTCTTCACTTTCTTCCCAAAAATCAATCAACCAATGATACCCAAACTCTGTCCTGCATGCGAGTCCGACGAAGGGTTCGTCAATTTGTGTAATCGACTTAACGGCTTTCATCGCCCTCGGGCTAGCCTGAACTTATCGATTTTCTTTGAAGAAGAAGGGTGCATTCTCTCCGGCTTGCTTGGTTTGCTCGAGTCCCAATTGTGGTGGAAAATAACATGCCCCTTGCCAACTGGTTCACCCCTAGTCCTTACTCCGCCGAGGTTAGCATCTTGGCTTCTAAATGGTCCAATTTCAAAATAGGCTACCCACTAATGAAGGATAAAGCCTGGTAGTAGTGGGTGGACGAGCTCGAGCCCATCTGGAAGCAAAAGTGGATGGCTAATGGAATCTATGAGCTCATCATGCTTTCCAAGGTCACCATTATAGCCAAGTCCGAGTTTCTGACCACATCTCTCCTTTTTTGGAACAATGGGACCAATACATTTGACTTTAGAATGGATTGCATGTCTCCCATAGTCCTCGATATGGCTCAAGTCTTCGGGCTAAAGCCCTCGGGCAGGTGCGTGGATGTCACCCACGATTGGTCTCCACCTTTTTGCCTAAATGCTGAAAGCTCGGGCACCTATGAGCCCATTACTCGACTAGAATACAACCTCTCGACCTTCAAAAGCTATGAGATGTCCTTCGTGGGCTTCATCCCATTTACAAAGAAAACCTCCAGCCTACCCTCCTCCACTGCAGATAGGGCTCAGGAACACATGTACTTCCTTCTATACTGGTTGAACCAACATGTGTTCCCAAATAAATCTAAATGAGTGAAGCTAGATTGGATCCCACTGGTGGATGCCTTACACTCCTTTGATGATGTAGCCATGGGGCCCTTCTTTCTCGCACACTTCTACCATCTTCTCTACGAGATAACCAGAGATGAACATCTCTACTCTGTTGCTATCTTTAAAGCCATTGTGAACTCTATACGTTTGCGGTTATGTTCTTTGCAGATTCCGCTTTCTACTGCAAATGGACCTATTTTTCAAGAATGGAGAATTCCTATGTAGTTCTCCTTTTGGGTGCTGGTTGTTGGGTTGGGTTGTAAGCTGTTTTTTACATCCTCCTACCTTTTTTATTTGTTTTTAACTTGGCCCTTGTTGCCATTGTTGTGTAGTAGTTTGTTGCTTCTTTTGGTTCTCTTTTAATACAATCATTCATTTACCCAAAAAAAAAGTTCCCGCACCTTGAAAATTCCTTGATGAAATGGCTAAGGCACTGGACTGAGGTGTCTGTGGCCCAGTTGTAGATGAAGTGGGCTGATTGACGGCAAGAACCTTTGTGATTGATTGTTGTGTAATTTCATTTTGTTGTATGCGACAGTAAGAGAAGAAGAAAAATGGTAATGTTGAGACACAAAATTTGTAGATTATATTTTGTAAATTACATGATATGTAAGTAGAAAATTAGATTATTATTTAAGTGTTAATTAATGTGCTTATTTTTTATTAATGACGTATGATTTAATTTGTAAATTTAGTCTATAAATTTAGTAGCATTAATCGGAAAAAAAATTCTAGAACCAAAGAGAAAAACTTACACAAATAATACGGTGCGTAATACATACCCAGAAGAGTGATACCCATCAGACGCTTATATGCTTTTTACCTTACTCCAATTAGCCACCGATTGACTCGTTTTCTGAAAAGAATATGGATGACTATTGTTACTTTTTCTTGGAATGAAGTTTGAACAAAAAAAAAAAAAACTATACAATAAAAAAAACAAAAGAGAAACCGGAGGGAGTAGAAACCAAGAAGAAAATAAATAAATAAACATTTTTATTCAACTAATGACCATTGAAGTCTCCGAACACACTAAACGCGTAATTGACATTTGCATCTCTTGCAAGAATTGCTGGACGTTCACCTATTAGTTGCTTGTAATATAGTTTGATTCTTCTGTCCAAGAGGGTAGTGAATCTAGTGATTTTCTAATTGCTCGATGGGTCTTATTAGATCAGCTCAGAGTGAAGGAGCCTCCTCCTCCACTAGTACTTCTTCTCCATGCAGTTATCATGTGTTCTTGAGTTTTAGAGGCGAAGACACTCGCAAGACTTTTACTGATCATCTCTATACAGCATTTGTAAACGCAGGCTTTCTCACATTTCGCGATGATGATGAACTTGAGAGAGGAACAGATATCAAGCAAGAGTTGCAGAAAATTATCCAACAGTCACGAAGTTCGGTAATTGTGCTTTCAAAAGACTATGCGTCATCCAGATGGTGCCTTGATGAGCTTGTGATGATCCTAGAACGCAATAGGACATCGGACCATGTAGTTTTGCCAGTCTTCTATGACATCGACCCACCTCAGGTGAGAAAGCAGGAGGGAAGTTTTGCGAAATCATTTGCAAGACATGAAAAAGATCGATCGTTGAAGGACAAGGTGAAGAACTGGAGGGCTGCACTTACTGAAGTTGCAGATCTAGCAGGGATGGTCTTACAGCATCAAGCTGATGGGTAATTATATTAATTTCATTTATTACAATTGATGCATATTCATCTGACTGACATTTGATTAGATTTCTATCTGTATTATTATTACCTGGTAAATTCTGTTGATTTATCTGCCGTCTCTCTTTATGTATTGTCAACGTATTCTGATTGGAAATTTGATAATTTTGTGGGCTTTTACTGATCATGTCTAATTAATTTTGATTTCTCCCAATTTGTTCCATAAATACTAGTATAGTACCAACTAAAGTTTTGTTTCAAAACTTACCAGATTTCATGGACTATTTGTGTACTTGTAGTCTTGTATATTGTTTGTTATATCTTATATGCATCCCTAAGCATAATGGGAAGAGGGGAGAACAACAGAAAGTTGCCCATAAGATTGTAAACAGTTTTCACAAAGTTTGATTTTACATCTTAGTTATGTTTGAATTAATCATGATGTATTTGATTTATTTTCCATTTTCATTGCAACTTTATAGGCACGAGTCAAAATTTATCAAGAAAATTGTTAAAGTGATTGAAGGCAAACTAAGTCGTACGCCCATAAGTGTTGCTCCACACTTAATTGGAATCCATTCTCAAGTCCAAAACATTAACTTATGGCTACAGGATGGATCAACTGATCCTGACATACTTATCATATATGGGATGCGTGGAATGGGAAAGACAACCATTGCAAAATGTGTTTATAATTCAAACTATAAAAGATTTCAAGGAACCAGTTTCCTTGAGAATATAAGAGAAATTTCAGGGCAGCCGAATGGTTTAGTTCAGATACAAAAGCAGCTTCTTTATGATGTTTTGAATGGCAAAAAAGTAAAAATACACAGTATTAGTGAGGGAGTAATTAAGATTGAAGATGCTATCAGCTCTAGAAAAGTTCTTCTTGTTCTAGATGATGTGGATCATATGGACCAGTTAGATGCGGTTCTTCGGATGCAAGGTCAGCTTTATCCGGGAAGTAAAATCATCATTACAACTAGCAATGCAGTGTTGCTAAAAGCTCGGCACCATGCCATTAAGGTTCATAACGTTCAAAGTTTTGACAGAAGCGAATCACTGGAGCTCTTTAGTTGGCATGCGTTTGGGCAAGACTATCCCATAGAAGATTACTTGGAACTTTCAGAAAGAGTAGTACACCTCAGTGGAGGACTTCCATTAGCTCTGAAAATTTTGGGTTCTTCTTTATCCGGGCAAAGTACACTTGTATGGGAGAGTGCATTAAACAAGTTGAAAGCTATTCCAAATGGTGAAATCTTGAATAAACTCAGAATAAGCTATGACTCTTTACAAGATGACCATGATAAAAGTTTATTTCTTCACATTGCATGTTTCTTTATTGGAATGGAGAAAGATGTGATTGTTAGAATACTAGATAGCTGTGATTTCTACACGGTTGTTGGCATTCAAAATCTCATGGATAGATGTTTGGTGACAATTGATGAATATAACAAGGTTAAGATGCATCACATGGTTCGGGAAATGGGAAGAGGTATTGTTGGGTTAGAGTCAAAGGAGCCTTGCAAACGTAGTAGATTGTGGAACCATAAGGATTCGTTCAAAGTATTGACACAAAAGAATGTAAGAAATTTATGAATTACGTGTTTTTAATTTTATAAATTTCTTACGTGTTTTTAGTTGTGTACATCTGCAATGTTTGTTAACTTATCCAGATTAATGTCTTCTTTTTGTTTTTTCTTTTTAGGGAACACAAACAATTGAAGGTCTTGTGCTGAACATGGAAATGCATCCTGCACACACCCTTTCAAGAAATTCAAATGAGGTAGTTTTGGAAACCAGTGCATTCGTGAGAATGCATAAACTAAGACTACTCCAGCTTATTCATGTACAACTCAACGGATCGTTTCAAGAGTTTCCTACAGGGATAAGATGGTTGTGTTGGCATGGATTTCCTTTTAATTCTTTACCCAATGACTTTCCTTCAGAAAGCCTAGTTGTTCTTGAAGTGTGCTATAGTAGCTTGAAACAAGTCTGGGAAGGAGAAAAGGTATGTCACCCTAGAGAGTATATCTCTTTACTTTCTTTAGTTTTAATTTTAGAGCTTTCAATGATTATATATTTGTTATATATTTACAGAATTTGACTCCCTCTCGTTATTCCTGGTTTTTTTGGATTTCTTGACAGTTTCTTCCATCATTGAAGATCCTAAATATCAGCCATTCCCATTGCCTTACCCAAACCCCTGACTTTTCACACGTCCCCAATCTGGAGAGTTTGATTCTTAAAGATTGTGCAAGCTTGGTTGATGTCAAATCCATTGGAAACCTAGACAGACTTGTTCATTTGAATATGGAAGATTGCAAAAACATTAGGAAGCTTCCAAAGAACATTTCTACACTAAAATCCCTTGAAACGCTCATCATATCTGGTTGCTCAAACCTTATTGAGTTTCCAAAGGAAATGAGTAAAATGGAATCTCTGAAAGTGCTCAAAGGAGATGGAGTTTCAATACATACCATCTCAGAGGTCAACTTACAACCAAGAAAAAATCCAGAAATGTTTTGGGCTTCATATGTGCCATGCAATTTAGTAGATTTAAGTCTTAGTGGCTGCAATCTTTCCAATGATGATTTTCCTGGGGATTTCAGTAACCTTCAATCATTGCAAAAGCTAAATCTAAGCTGCAATCCAATTTCCACTCTACCAGATTGCATCAAAGGTCTTAAGAGACTCGACGAACTCTCTTTTTCTCAGTGTACGAGTCTCAAATTGCTTGCAGGGCTTCCAACTATCAGAGAACTGATAGTGAATGGTTGCCCGTCATTGGAAAAAGTAAAATTTCAATCAATGTCGTTCCAACCAAAAATCATCTTAGATGAATCCAACTGCAAGCTATTTGAGATTGACTCATACTTCAAGTTAGAATCAATAGAAAATGTTGATGTACGTATGATCAACCTTTTGAGCTTGAACAACTTGAAATCCACAGAAACAATTATGTTGGACAGTACCCTGCACGTGTTCAAACGTGTGATGAAGAGGAAGATGCATCCCATCCAGGTCCCTCTCTCTCTCTCTCTTTCACACACACACACACACACACACACACACAACATTCATTCATTTGAGAGAAGAGCATCATGTCACCGTGAAAAAACTTGACACAACATTCATTCATTTGAGAGAAGAGCATCATGTCACCGTGAAAAAAACTTGACAACAGTCACTAACATTAGTTGCACAAAACAAGGTGAGTAAAGCCGCAACATGTCTTTTACATGCCTAATTATTAGCGACTTATAGCCCTTTTACCTACCTCATTATGTACAACTAACATTAGTGATTCAATGATTATACAAAGTGCATATGGACCCATCCCATGCACGAAATCTTTCTCCACAAGATTAATTGAGTAGTTATTGTCTGTATACAAAATTAGTTCACTAATATAGATCATTTCCATGGCACAGGGATTGTATGAATATGGTGTATTCAGCGTATTTCTTGTTGGTAATGAGGTTCCAGGCCTGTTCAGTCATAGAAGTACAACAAAGTCGTCATTGTCTATAACTGTGCCTTTCCGTCTTGAAGAAAGGATTAAAGGCTTCAACTTCTTCTCTGTCTATGCAAAGCCTAACACTTGTTCTCCTAAGATCGATGTGAACACAGATTTACCCAACCCAATAGTCACTGTAGTGAAGATTGGCTGTGTAAATAGAAAGGACCTGACCTGGATCTATGGCCCATCATTCTTTGGTGTCCCAGGTGATGGAGAAGACGTGATATGGTTAAGTCATTGGAGGTTTAGGGGGCAATTAGACGAGGGTGATGAGGTGACTGTTTCAGTATATACGCGATCTGAGTTTCAGGTAAAAGAGTGCGGCATTGAGCTTGTGTACGAGATGAATAACCAAGGGACTGCCATTTATCCATGTATCAGTGCGGGAGACTGGGCAGTTTCTGATGAGGTGACCTCTGGCACATACTTCCTCAGCAATCGATATGAAGAAATCGATGTGTATGGGTCGGCATGGTTTAGCGACATCATTAAGACAGGTACATGTTCTTTTGGAGATGATTTATGCATACTTTTTTCTTCTTGCACACATCTATTTACACTTAACGTTTAGATTGAATAAATTAAAAAAAAAAAAAAAAAAAAAAAGAAGAAGTATGCATATAATGTGTGCAAATTATTTTCCTGTTTTTCATCCCCTTTGATTACTCTAGATCACAATTATTAGTGGATGAATATTTAGGCCGTTGATAAAGTTGTGAAATTGATCAACACATTAATTTCTAGAATTTTCCTCTGATGTGACGTAATCAGTTTTCTTGTGTTTGGTAAGGTGTAGGATTTTCTCATATCTTATTATCATCTTCTTTTCTCCTCTCTCGTTCTCTCACATCTTTCTTTTCGTCTTTTTTTTTTATATAAAATTTTAAAACAAGATATTGATGTGCCTTACTTGTAACTGTTTAAATAGGGAAGAATAAAAGGAGAGAGAGATTAGAAGATGAGGGATTCCTACTCCGATTGGTAGAGCAACCGAGGAACCGCAGTATTGTCGGTCGCATAAATCGGATGCCAAGAATCTTGATAGTGTTCTGTAGCCTTTCCTTCTCTCTTTTCTCTCTTGAAAGTTTCTTGCTGTCAGAGAAGGGACAGGCCCTAATTCCCGATGTTCAGTTACTTCCAAGAGTCTCCGCCGTGTTCAATAGTTTACGTCTCTTGATATATATCTATATTTGTATGTTGATGTGGCGATTTATTTTCTGAATTTGCCCTAATTAAAATTACGTTTTTAAACTTTTTTTTTTAATAAAATAAGTTCATGAATTCTTTAAAAACTCATAATTTTAACCTTATTATGATATTACTAGTTATTTATTTAATTTTTTGTAAACTTAAGTCATATAACACATTTTAGAAGGTAATAGTCATTTTTTGTATGTAAGGCCTTAAAGTTGCGTATAAGTTGTAAAATCTAATTTGCCATCCTAAATTAACTCCATACATTATTTTCTCAAAAAATAATAATTCCCTAAACAACTACTAGTCTACCATCTAAAGTGCATCACATAAAAGTCACGCAATTTAAATTAATGAAAAATTGAATAGAATAGCTTCGAATCTAATATTAAAGATGTAGTTGGCAGATTTTATTATTTTAAATACTGATTTTAAAAGCCACTTAGTACTATGGTGTATTCCTCATCACTTGTAAGTGAGAGGTCTTAGGTTTGATTCTCGCCAAAGGCGAATTTGAACCACATTATTGCTAGCACATTGTAAGGCTATGTCCACCCTCTCGCCGATAATATCGTTTGTTCAAAAAAAAAAACTTAATTTTCATTCAGGTGATAATTTAGCATCTAAGTCAACATGCTACTCATTTCTAAAGCTACATTAATAAAATCATCTTTGTTAATCAAAAGAGGGTGAAAAGATATATTTGTCTTCTATCATAACAAAAAGAGTTAATTACAAAAAACTACCTCAAGTATGGGTCAAATGACACTTTCATACCTCATCTTTTAAAATTGACAATGTCATACCTCATCTTACGAATTTGTGTCAATGTTATACCTTCCGTTAGCTTGGCCGTTTATTTCTCAGTTAAATGCTGACGTGGCTTGATCCGGGACCCATTTTTATTAAAAAATTAATAAAAAATTTATTAAAAACAAAAAAAATCATTTAATATTATTTAAATATTAAAATAATAAAGACCCTTTTTTTTTCCTTCTCTCTTCTTCTTCTTCCCTCTTCTTCTTCTTCTTCTTCTTCTTCTTCTTCTTCTTCTTCTGCAGGGGGACGAACTGGGTTGTTTTTTTTTTTTTTTTTTCTTTCTTCTCTCTTCTTCTTCTTCCCTCTTCTTCCCTCCTCTCTTCTTCTTCTTCTTCTTCTTCTGCAGGGGGACGAACTGGGTTGTTTTTTTTTTTTTTTTCTTCTCTCTTCTTCTTCTTCCCTCTTCTTCCCTCTTCTGCAAGGGGACGAACTGGGTTGTTTGTTTGTTTTTTTTTTTTTCTTCTCTCTTCTTCTTCTTCTTCCCTCTTCTTCCCTCTTCTTCTTCTTCTTCTTCTTCTTCTTCTTCTTCTTCTGCAGGGGGACGAACTGGGTTGTTGTTTTTTTTTTTTTTTCCTTCTCTCTTCTTCTTCTTCTTCTACTTCTTCTTCTGCAAGGGACGAACTGGGTTTCCCATTGCTTTTTTTTTTTTGTTTTTTTTGTTTTTGTGTTGCCTTCTTCTTCCTCCTCCTTTCGTTGCAGGGGGTTGAGTTTGTGGTAGGTAGAGGGGGGATGAACTGGGTTTGGTTTGGTTTGGGTTTTTTTTTTTTTTTTTTTTTCTCTTCTTCTTCTTCTTTCTCCTTCTTCTTTTCTGGGTTGCTGGATTGCAGGAAGATGATGAGGAAGAGAGAGGGGGGAGATGCACGAAAGGAGAGGGAAGATGATGGATAATTTTTTTTTTTTATGTACTTTTTTTATTATTATTTTAATATTTAAATAATATTAAATGATTTTTTTTTTGTTTTTAATAATTTTTTTATTAATTTTTTAATAAAAATGGGTCCCGGATCAAGCCACGTCAGCATTTAACTGAGAAATAAACGGCCAAACTAACGGAAGGTATAACATTGACACAAATTCGTAAGATGAGGTATGACATTGTCAATTTTAAAAGATGAGGTATGAAAGTGTCATTTGACCTATACTTGAGGTAGTTTTTTGTAATTAACCCTAACAAAAAAGTTAAAGACAATAATGTAATTTCGTAAGATAAAATTTTGTTGTTTTTTTAAGCCTCACCTACATGTAATGTTATCATCTCTAATTTAAATAATGAAAAGACAAAAAAAATGTGAAACTTTCAATATTCCTACAATGCTCTCATTGTTGTAGCCTATGTTATCTGACAGTATTAAAGGGGGGCGGCAAGGGAAAAGAGAGTGAGAGAGATGTGTTTGTAGAATTGTAGGAGAATATGTGTTGTTATCTCTCCTATATTGTGCCTTTATTTATAGTAATAAAAGGAGAGAAGATATTCCTTCATCCCTAAGGAATACAAGTCCATATAGGAAAGGATAACTAGAATCTAATCCAATCTAGGATTTACACAATCATACTTAAACTAGGAAAGTTTACAACACTCCCCCTTGAGTGTGTAAATACTCAAGGTAGATTCATCATCATGCAGAAGTTGAGGAAGTTGACTCGTCGACACTTTTAAGGAGCAACGCTTGTTCTCAATAAGGTAGGAACTTGCATAAGTAAGTAAGTCTCACTAAGAAACCCTAAGGCTATGGCAAAAACCCGAGTAGGGACAAAATCCATAGTCTAAGGAAAAATGCGTGAGAGATGAAAAAGTTAAAAGAAACGTCTATGGGACGTCATCAGGGATATGACCAACCCAAGGTGGGTGCCTCGTTAAAACCTAGTTAGGTAGCAAAAACCCAGTGGGAAAAATGCTCCTAATCGTATGGAAAAAAAAGTAAATTAAGGTCAAGCAAGTATCTTCAGAATACTCCCCCTGAGTTTGACACAATTCCAAAGAGAAATAGCAATGTTACAACTCAGAAAGTTTACGTATACCAATTCCATGAAAAAGTTTATAAAATGTTGTCTTCGGCAGTAATTTGGTGAAGAGGTCGGCCAAATTGTCTTGTGAACGGATTTGCGTGACTTCAATCTTCCGATGCTCTTGTTGTTGATGTAAAAAGAAGAACTTCAACGCAATGTGCTTCGTGTTGTTTCCTTTAATGTAACCCTTCTTGAGTTGTTCGATGCATTATGCGTTGTCTTCAAAGATCGTCGACGGGATAAAGATCGCAGGAGCTTTGAATATGGCCCATTACTGCTTTCAACCAAAAGCATTCCCGAGTTGCTTCATGTAAGGTGAGAATTTCAGCATGGTTAGACGAAGTGGCAACTAAGTTTTGTTTAGTTGACCCTCAAGAGATTGCGGTGCCTCAAATGGTAAAGACATAACACATTTGAGAACGCGCCTTGTGCGGATCAGATAAGTATCCTGCATCCAATAAGGTGAGAATTGACTCGAGAAGTAGAGGGTGCGCCATCACTCGAGGATCTGCAGGGACAGAACAAACCCAAATCCATAATACCTTTAAGGTAATGGAAGATGTCTTTCACGCCAGTCCAGTGTCTGCGTGTAGGTGCATTATTGTATCTTGCCAAAAGATTAACAGAGAAGAAGATGTCGGGTCTAGTACATTGAGCTAAATACAATAAAGCGCATATTGCACTTAGATAAGGAACTTCAGGCTCCAAAATCTCTTCATCATCCTTCTTTGGACGGAAGAGATCTCATTTTGTATCTAGTGATCGAACGACTATAGGAATACTCGAAGGTTTTGCTTTATTCGCATTAAAGTAGCGCAACACCTTCTGGGTGTAGTTCAATTGATGTACTAGGACTCCATCTGAACAATGCTCTATCTAGAGATCGAGACAGGATCGAGTCTCACCTAGATTTTTCATCTCAAATTCCGACTTCAGGTGCACGGTAATTCTCTCGAGCTTTTGAGGAGTTCCGATGAGATTCATGTCATCGACATATACTGCAACAATCGCACATCCGAAATGTGACTTCTTAAAGAACACATAAAGGCATATTTTGTTGTTCACATATCCATGACTAGTCAAATACTCACTCAGGCGGTTATACCACATTCTTCTGGATTGCTTCAAACCGTAGAGTGAACGCCTTAGCTGAATTGAGAACGTGTTCTGGGGTTTGGAAATGTTTGACCCAGTCAATTTAAGTCCTTCGGGAACTTTCATATAAATTTCCGTATCAAGATCCCCATAGAGATACGTAGTTACTATGTCTATCAGTTGTATACTCAACTGTTCGGAAACTACAAAACTGATAAGGTAACGAAAAGTAATCACATCCATAACAGGTGAATAAGTTTCGTCATAGTCAATCCCGGGTCGTTGTAAGAGTCCTTGTGCAACAAGACGATCTTTGTGACGCATAATTTCGTTCTTCTCATTAAGACTTTGAACGAAAACCTACTTGTGGCCAATAGGCTTCATATGTGGAGGAGTAGAAGATACAGGTCCAAACACCTTACATTTCGCAAGCGAATCGAGTTCAACTTAGATTGCTTGTTTCTAATTTGACTAATCATATCTACGTCAACATTCATGAACAGAACGCGGTTTAATGTCATTGCTCAACATGATCTCAGTAGCTATTGCAAATGCTAATGCATCGTCAACAATCATCTCATTTCTACGCCACACATCATCTAAGCAAGCATAATATACCGAAATTTCACGATTCTCGGGAGGAGGATTTGTCTCTTCAAGGACATTTCCATAATCTAGAATTTCCTCATGGGTTAGATAGAATGAGTAAGCGATAGTTGGATTCATGGTAAGCTCTTTAGGACCTTATGCCGTGGATTTCCTCTTCCGGGGGCGTGAATCATTTGAACCAAAAAGTCTGCCATGCTTTTGTGTAGGAGCAGATGATTGGCTAGCCACTAATGTGTGTGGATCACCAAGATTGGCATCTCGGGCTTCCAGGAGAGCAGTCCATCGTACATTTGGTACATCCATCTTTGCAGCCGTATTTGCAGCTAGAATATGTGATCTTGTCATGTACGCTAAATCAGTGAAAACATCTGGCATGCTTTGAGTTATGCTCTGAAGATCTAATATGCGTTGCACTTCAATTTCAGATTGAGCAGTGCGGGATCTAAATGAGACAAAATAGGAGTCGTCCAAGATAATTTGCGTCATTCTTCAAAAATGTTGACGTTCTTATCTCCCCTTAATGACCGAAAGACTGTGTCTTAGAAGTGACAATCCGCAAAACGAGCAGTAAATAGATTGCCTGTCAAAGGCTGTAAATAACGAATAATTGAAG